ACTGTGGAATCATTAAATGAGTAGAATTACCTGAGAAGGCAAAAGCTTCTAGCATTTGAGGTGGTGATGAAATCACTTCCGGAGACCGTTGATGAGTAGCAGAAGTTTTCCCTTTCAACTGTGGAGCTAACATGGTCAGAATTTGTTGGCATTGTCCTGGAGTGATAGTGATGTTTGACAGGGAATTAACAATGTCTGAACTAGAATTGGCAATTGGACCAACAACATTGGCAATTGGAGCTTTTCCTTTAGCTAGCCTCTGACCCGGAGGATAACCAATCAACTTATAGCACTTACTCTTAAGATGTCTTACCATCCCACAATGACTACATATCGGTTTATCTTTTCTTTGAAGCTGATTAAACGAGCTTGCTCTTTGGTTACCAACTGAATTGTGAACCATCCTACCAGCAAAGGCAGTAGCATCAAAATTCTATTATTTCTTAGCCACCACCTCCTTTTGCCTTTCATCTTGTAGAATTAGAGCAAACACCTTATTGAGTGAAGGCATGGGATCCATCAGTAGGATCTGACTCCTCACGTGTAAAAATTGATCATATAGCCCCATTAGAAATTGCATGATTTGATCCTCAGATTTGTAGTCAGTACCACGAACATTTGGTCCATAATTCTCAAGTTCCTCCCAGAGTCCTTTGAGTGTGTTGAAATAGGAGTTCATAGAGTTGTATGACTGAGAGATGGAAGCAATTTGCTTCTTAATTTCATAGATTCTAGGACCATTACCTTGACTGTAGCAATCCCTAAGTTCAATCCAGATTTCTCTCGTTGAATCGTTGTGCATCACACTTGGATAAAGCTCCTTTTTCTCTCGTTGAATCGTTGTGCATCACACTTGGATAAAGCTCCTTTGGAATGGTATTAATAATCCATGAGGAAACCACATGATTACATCTCCTCCAAGCACCGTAAAGAGGATCCTCCTGATGTGGTTTAGTGATTGATCCATCAATGAATTTTTGACACTTAGTGCCATGATGATTGCACGACTCCACGTTGCGTAATTCTCTTCAGCGAGCTCAATTGATATAAGTTGTATTCCAATGTTATCACCATATTTCAGATAGTATGGGCTGTTCGGATCAGTAATCAATCGATTCACCAACGAAATTGCATCTCCAGAACCAGCTTTTCCATCTGCTGGATCGATTGATGAATTGACCCGATCTAATTCATCTTGGATCTCTGCTTGAGTGGTAGAATTCTTCGCCATTTGCATATGGAAGCTTTATTGCTCTGATACCATGATGAGATGTAGAGAGAAGAATTGAAGGAGAAAGAAAATAGTGGAAAGGCACAATTGCATTACTTAAAAAATTATTGAGTTGTACAAGGTGGATACATATATATACAGAATGAAAAGAATGTACAAAGACCAAACTATCCCTATATTACAATGTAATTCAATAGAGAAAGATGAACCGTGTTTGGATTGCAGAAATGAATGAAAAGTTTACACACTCATTTGGTTTACAATGAAAATAGAAGATTTTTTTTTTCTCATAAGAAAAATAGAAGAAAAATAAATGAAGGAAAATGATCCCTCAACTCTCTTGGTCGAAATGATTTAGACACTGAACCAAGACTGGTCAAAATATGGACAAATCGTTTTCCCAAAAAGAAAAATGAAAATTGGCTTTCCTCTGTCTGTTACATTCCTCATTCCGATGGTCTCTTCTTTTCTTTATTTTCTTGTTCAGCCAAACACGTCCTAACCTATGCACCTCTGAGCTTTTAGGAAAATCCCCCCTCAATATAGAAATCACCATTTTCTGGACCATCATTCTGTTGTGTTGAGAGCAAGTTTTTTACTTCGCATCATGATTCTAGTCTAGATAAGAATTGTGTATATGACTATATCGCGCAATTATCGGTTAGTGCTTAAAGGACGAGACTTCCAAGTATAGCTTGAAATCTGGGACAGACAGATAGCTTTTAGGTAGGCTCTATCGTGGTTAGTCTAAAACTTACGTGGATTATCTTTTTTTGTGCATCAATCACTTTGGGTTCTATTGCACGACTTAGTTTGCCTCATCCTTTCACATTTATGCCAACATGCTCATCTAGCTTTCTGGCGATGCTTTTCTTTAGTGACTTACTCCTTTGTGATTGTGTTACAACATGTTCTGATATTACCATATACATTCATTGAGAGAAATATAGACGTGAAATCCATGATATCATTGAGAATATACATATGAACTGTTATTCATCCTGGCCATTAAAAAACTTTGGAGTGTTTTGTTCAATTTTGACAGGAACAGTCTGCTATTATTGATAATATAACTGCTTAATGTGCCTTCTATTTTTGTTCTTCAGGTGGTGAAAAAATACATATAGGAAAAATGCTGATTCCAGTTGTATATCAATAGGAATTATGCAGATGCTGTGCTTTATTCCCTAAACTGGCACAAGGGAGACTATGAACTTGCCGAGTTGAATGAGGCCTTTGGAGGATAGGAATGCAGGATATGGTGGGTTTGGAATGTTTTTATCTACTAATATGACTTTGGTGATAAGCATCCTAATGAAATTTTCGTATACTTCGTTCTATAAGTAATGAGCTTAAGAGGGAAGAGTTTTTACTATCTGAGGCTAAATTTTGGGGGTTTTAGTAGGAAAGGTTGAACTTATACATGAATTTAGTCTTTTATTTGTTCAATCTTGTTAGGACCACAAGAAATGGGTTTGTGTTAGCGTTCTGATTGTAGTTATATGATGAATAACAAGAAACATTATGGTCCATTCAAATGATTACTGTCCTTTTCGAGAGGATTTGGATTATCTAAATAAAAAAGGAAATATGGCGTGCATCTTGATACTAAAAACACAAAAATTGTTATTCTTGATCATTTTCATTTTGGATATTGAGTAGATGTTATTTCTTAACTTGCCAAAATATTATACGCGGTCATTTTCATTTTGTAAATCGAGTATAAGTTATTTATTTTGTATTATATAAGATGAAATTCTTTAAAAGTACCATATTGCAGAGCATTTTATTTGGAATAATGCTCCTTAGACAGGGTCAATGTTAGGGTTGGGGTTGACAGGATGGTGTCACAAGAGTAGTTGGGTGTTTTTTTTTTTTTTTTCCAAATGTGTATTGACACGCTTTTGTTCTGTAATTGAGCCTGTGTCACCGTAGCAAGTTCATTTATTTGTGGTTCACCTTTTATGATGGGGAAGTAGTTCAGTTTTAGTTACTTTATATATGATTTTTAGTAAGGCTATTCTAGCATTGTATTTCTAATTACCTTCAAAAATTGTAATGATGTTTTAAGCCCTCGTTTGGTATCTATATTTTTCTCTCTTCTTTTTAACAACACATTCTTTATTAAAATAATATTATACGTAAATAAATTTTTTTTTTTCTTATTTTTCAATCATACACTTCCCATCAAGTTACTATTTTAAAATGTATTTTTACATAAAAATGGCTCAAACATGGGTGTCAAACAGGGCCCTAATTACCTTCAAAAATTGTAATGATGTTTTAAGCCCTCGTTTGGTACCTATTTTTTCAAAATATCTTTTTCTCTCATTTTCAACTACACATTCTTTATTAAAATAATATTACACGTAAATAAATTTTTTTTTCTTATTTTTCAACCATACACTTCTCATTAAGTTACTATTTTAAAATATATTTTTACATAAAAATGGCTC